TTTCACCTGTTTTATCATCCAGCAGGTGAAAACAGTGCGTCTGGTCACTTAGTAAAGTAACTAGCACTAATGATGCATGAGACAGCTGAGGCTCATAATCAAACACCAATATGAGCTCATATGTTAATATAATATCATATGTGGAATTATTGATGAAGTCTTAAGACGGATCATTAGTCAGATATGGAGATATGGCTGTACACATGATAAATTATGCTCGTTCTCACAGCGATATAGTCATTAATGTTTTCCCAGAATGAACTGTCTGTTATAATGCTGGATCCTCGGACGGTTTGTAGTATTAATTCTCATCACAGCATCTACGCTTTCCAATGAAATCACATCCGGCCTTGAGTCTAGATCTTTATTTCAAGGCTGTAGTGAAGGCATGAGCTTCAAGCATCTCAAGTGTCTGGGTTTTATTAGGATTCTTGTCCACAAACATCTTAATCCTCAGACGCAGCAGAACTGAAGACTAAACCCTGAAGGTCCAGGAAAGTGTGTCTGTGTTTCTGCAGGCGCTGCTGTTTCTTCAGCTCTGTGCTGGTCTCTGTACTTCTGTCCATAATCCAGACGTATATTGATCTTCTTTCATCTGCAGATTCGGCCCTCGGCGTTCAGCTGACCCTGCTTTTGTCCTCTTATCTCTCTTCATCTCCCTCTTTGTCTCAGTCCTGAGGATTACTCTAGGTCTCTCTCTCTCTCATATTTGTGACCCTGGAGCACAAAACCTTCTTAAGTCGCTGGGGTATATTTGTAGCAATAGCCAAAAATACATTGTATGGGTCAAAATGATAGATTTTTCTTTTATGCCAAAAAATCATTAGGATATTAAGTAAAGATCATGTTCCATGAAGATATTTTGTAAATTTCCTACTGTAAATATATCAAAACTTAATTTTTGATTAGTAATATGCATTGCTAAGAACTTTATTTGGACAACTTTAAAGATGATTTTCTCAATATTTAGATTTTTTTGCACCCTCAGATTCCAGATTTTCAAATAGTTGCATCTCGCAGGGCTCGAAATTAACTTTTTTACTTGGTCGCACTGGTGCTCCCAACTTCAAAAAGTTAGGAGCACCAGCAAAAATTTAGGAGCACTCACCAAAAATGTATGAGCATCACAACTACAAATTATATATTAACAGATTTTATCCTTACATTCTTAACTTTAATGCAGATTTTGTATTGGTTAATATTAGCTGTCAATCTCTCAGTCACTGCTTTCCGCTAACTACCGTGAGAAAAAGAAAGGGCTGAAGAAGAGAGAAAATGAAAAGAACACTGACAGATTTATTTTGTAAACAACCTAAAGTTAAGCTCTTCTTTGGCGAGGGTTAGGATGGTGTATGCGGTGTTAAATTTTACATTCAGCTCTGCCAGTTGCACCGAATGACTCGCAGCTAGGGGTGTGCAATATTGACAAAAAATTGTATCTCGATATTTTCTGGGATTTTATCGATAACAATAATTTGACTGAGTGTTACTGTGATATCTTAAGGACTACAGTGGACAGCTATTAAACTAAAATGTTTAATATTCATATTCTATGTGGTGGTCAGTTCACAGCAGTGACAGAAATGAATATTTTCCAATAAGTTTAAATAGATTTTGACCTTTTATGGGCATTTTACCTTTATAAAGCCATTTTTCTATAAGTGTGCATTATCTTTTGAGTCAAATTCTTACATTTAATCAGGGAATTAGA